ACCTCTTCTGCCTTTCACCTAGGCTTCCGGCAAAGGCCTTGCAAAGCATGGTGCAGGACACTGTGTGAGGCCAGATCCATACACAGAGATGAACGAGTGCAGTGAGAGGAAGGGGGAGCTTCAGCTTGTGGTGAAACAGGAAAAGTTCCCTGATCCCCCTTGCAGGCTTGCGAGGGGGGTGTGGCTCGCTTCTTCAGTGTTCAAAGCTCTAGGGGGAGCATGCAGATGGGCAGGCTGTGGGGCTCCGACCCACGGCATTGTCTAAGGGTGAATGTTTAGAGCTCCTGAGGCCCCAGTGGGCCTGTGTTACAGGGTGCTCTTTTAGTTTAGCCATTCCTAGTCAGCTCAATTAGACCCCCTGCCTTATCGCTAGAACAGAGGCTTTCTGTATCCAGGGGGTTTTTGCCTTGGTGTACCAAAAGAATCAGATCACATGTGGGCTTGGAGAATGAGTACAAGGTTTTCTTGAGTGAAAGTAGCTCTCAGCAGATGAGGGAGCTAGAAGGGAGATGGAGTGGGAAGGTGGTCCTCTGCGTTGATCTGCCTGTCGATGGCCTGCCAGCCTGCCTAGGGCCTCTATTGGTGTGCTCTTACACTGGTGTGTTCCTCTTGATGTTCAGTGGCTGGTGTGCATGCCCACTAGGGTCTCTGGTTTTTTATAGGCACAGGATGGCGGTGTGGCTGGCAGGGTGGTCTTGGGAAATGCAACATTTAGGCACGGAAATAGAAATACCTGTCCTCACCCAGGTCTGTGGGCACAGGGCTGGGAGTGGAGCCCTAGCCGGTGACTACACACTTCCCTTCCCAGCCCTTCCCTGCCCCCTCTTCCATATCAGTAGCTTGAGGGGGAAGCTGAGTTACTTCTCAGTTAGATGTTTTGGATTTTAGGGAGGAGAAGACAAAACGTGCAATTTGTAAAACAAAACAAGTCCATTGTTGAGGGAAACACTGGCTGTGCAGAAGGAGGGCTAGAAGGGCAGGGTGCCAGGGAGACAGCAAGGAGGAGCCCAGACCCACCGGGGAGGCAGCCTGGGAAGATGTTTGTTTCTAAGAGAAGAGGAAGGACTGGGAAACAGGGAGAAGTTTTGAGGGTGGAGGATGGGAAACTTGGGAAGCACAGAGCAGATGGCCTTAATCTTCTGAGTGAGAAAGGAGACAGTGCCAAACCCAGCTGGGGTGATGGTGGGAGTCGGGGCTGAGGGACGGCGGGCACGTCCCCTGCTGGCCGCTGAGGGTCTAGGATGGGCGTTGGGGCCTCAGCGGTGCTCCCAGGGCTTGCCTCCCATGAGGGGTCCTGTAGGGAGTGTCCAGATGCAAAGCCCCAGCTCCTCCCCCAGACACTCAGATTCAGTAGAACTGGGATGGAGGCCAAAATCTATATCATTAGGACAGTCCCAGAATATACTTGTTATCAGGCAAAGCCTGGAGAAATAGTGAGCGAAAGAACTGTTAGCCCCAGGGAGAGTCCACTAGCGGCTGGAAACAGGAAGTATGGGGGAATCATTTAGTATCCTTTTCACAGAGACACTCTGCTGCCCAGAACCCTGGGGGAGGGGTGTGTAGCCACATGAGGCTACACAGGAGGGGAATGTTATCTCCAGGAGGGTGGAGTCCGTCTAGGAGTGTGAGGTCTAGCTGAAGAAATGGGGTCCACCCAGGAGGGTGAGTTTTAGTTGGGGAGACGGGATCTACCTGAGAAGGTGACATCTAGCTAGAGAGATGGGGTCTGTCCAGGAGGGTGAGGTCTAACGAAGGGGATGGGGTCTGTCTAGGAGGGTGAGGTCTACCTGGGGGGATGGGGTCTATCCAGAGAGTGAGGTCTAGCTGGGGGATGGGATCTGTCTAGGAGAATGAGGTCTAGCTAGAGGGAGAAGGTCCATCCAAGAGGGTGAAGTCTCTCCTCCATAGGATGCTTTGGGAGGTCTGGGGTCTGGGGTTCCTGTGATCACAGTCCAAATGTGTGACTTGGACCCATACTTGGCAGAGACCAAGGTGAAGACAAGAGAGGACTGATGGACTCTGAGGAAAGGAAGAGTGACGGGAGAGAGTCAAGAGGGAGAGGCCAGAGAGTGTGAGGAAGTGGGGGGTCTGAGGAGGTGGGATCCCAGAGTGGGGCCTGGGGAGCTGGAGTGCTGGCAACACCTCTCACGCTGGAGAGGCCAGTCCTAGGGCTCGGTTAGACTAAGTGTGTTTAGCTGGGGCAGCAGTTTTACACATAAAACTCCTCCATTCCATTGATTCATGTGAAATCATTTTTAAAAATTAAGGCCACGGCTTTTTTCCTGGCTGCTTAGGCTACATGGCCAGGACTCTTGTCCCTCTGTGGTGAGGGGACTTTGGGTGGAAGAGTTTGAGAAGCTCTGCTGTGGAATCCTCTCCTTTTTAAATAAAGAGGGACGCTCCAAGCATGGCACAGAAAGGCAGACCTCGGTGGGGGCAGGTGTTCAGGCTTTGATCCCTTAATGATTGGAAGCTTATGAAATTGCCAACATTGGACCATGCTTGACTTTTGCAAATAGCTTCTTCTGTGATTCAGCCTAAATCTTAGACTGCAGGCCTCATCGCCGCCTCCACCACATGGCCTCACGGGGGCGCTGCTCTGCTTCCTAACTCCCCAAGGGCAAAGCCCGCTTCCCTGGCTTCTGGAAGCCCTGGGAAGTTGTTGGTGGAATGAAGACGACCGCTGTATTTTAAAAGGAAGTAAGCACAGAGAGAAACATGAATCCAATTAGAACAGTTCCTTGCCCCCTACAATGTGGTCCCCAGACCAGCAGCATCAGCACCCCCTGGGAGCTTGTGGAATTCCTGGACACCAACCCAGATCTGCTGAACCAGAATCCACATCTTAGCAGGAGTGCCCAGGCTCTCCTATGTGTGTGCGCACAGGAGAAGCACCAGTCTGGCCGGCAGGAGTCCGCTAATTTGTCACCTGTCTCTCCAGCCCCACAATCTGGGCCCTGCCTAACACTTCCCCTGGGGATGCACTCTTAGACCCTCCATCTTCAAAATCAACATAAGGTCTTTCCCTCCCAGGAACATAATCCTGCCTAAGAAACCATCTCTTCTTTCAGAAAGTGTATTCGTTATCTTTGCTGTGTAATAAATGACTCCAAAACATAGAGGCTTAAAACAATAAACATTTATTTTTGCCATATGCTGTTGGTTAGAAGTAAGTCACGAATCCAGCCCAGGCTTAAAGGGGAGGGGATCACCCCAGGGCCTGAATACCGGGAAGGAGGGATCGCTGAGGATCATAGTCCAGGCTGCCTACTGCGGGGAGTGGTCTCCAATCTAAGCGGTTTGCCTCAACAGGGCAGCCACATTAGAACACAAGAAAACAACCTGCACAGTCATACGGTAAGGATAACGTGCACTCAGCAACAGGATGCTTGAATCAACCTTTCAACTGTGGCTTGCAGAATGGCTGCGTTAGCATCACTTGGGGAACATTAAAAAAATACCAATGCTCTGGCCCTACCCGAGACCAATTAGATCACAATCTTAGGCGTGGGTTTTGTCTAATTTTTAAATTCCCCAGATAATTCTATTGCACAACTGGGGTTAAGAACTATGGTTTCAGGCTGGGTGCGGTGGCTCACGCCTTCAATCCCAGCATTTTGGGAGGCCAAGTGGGGCGGATCGCCTGAGGTCAGGAGTTCCAGACCAGCCTGGCCAACATGGTGAAACCCCATCTCTACTAAAAAAAAACAAAAAAATTTGGTTGGGTGTGGTGGCACGCCTGTAATCCCAGCTACTCAGGGGGCTGAGACAAGAGAATCACTTGAACCCAGGAGGTGGAGGTTGCATGAGTCCAGAAAGAAAAAAAAAAGAAGAAGAAGAACTATAACTTCATATGAAAAGTCGCAAATGCTACAATGCTGTAGTGAAGATTACTAGGGCGAAAGAAGATGGGAGGCTCAGGAGCTTGGACTTCTGCTAGGGAATCTGTGGGTCAGAAAAGTGAGCCTTAAGGAGTAAAAAGATCAGTTGTTGCCTGGAGTTAGGGCGAAGGGAGGGACAAACAGGTGGAGCACAGAGGACCTTTAGAGACTACTCTGTATGATCCTGCAGTGGTGGATAATGTCATTAGACATTTGTTCAAGCCCATGGAATGTACACCACCAAGAGTGAACCCTAACGTAAACTATGGACTTTGGGTGATGATGATGTGTCAGTATAGGGTCATTGATTGTAACAAAGGTACCATTTGAGTGGGGACATTGCTAATGCAAGAGGGTGCATGTATGGGAGCAGGGAACATATGACATATCTCTGTACCGTCCTCCTAATTTTGCTGTGAACCGAAAACCATTCTTTAAAAATAGTCTTTTTGTAACAGACAGGGTATTGCTCTTTTGCCCGGGCTACAGTTCAGTAGCACAATCATAGCTCACTGTGGCCTCCAACTCCCAGGTTCAAGTGATCCTCCTGCCTTAGCCTCCAGAGTAGCTAGGACTACAGGCACACATCACCATGCCTGGCTAATTTTTCTAAAAATTTTTTGTACAGACAGGGTCTCACTACATTGTCCAGACTGGCCTCAAACTCAAAAGCAATCCTCCCTCCTTGGCCTCCCAAAGGGCTGGGATTACAGGTATGAGCCATCACGCTCAGCCTTTATTTTTGTATATATAAAATTTTTTTTAAAGAGAGATACAGAAAGAAAAGAAACCTATCCATTGTTAAAACTTGTCTTCAGCCAGACATGGTGGCTCACTCTTATAATCCCAGCACTTTGGGAGGCTGAGGCAGGTGGATCACTCGAGGTCAGGAGTTCAAGAATAGCCCGGCCAACATGGTGAAACTCCATCTCCACTAAAAATACAAGAATTAGGCTGGCGTAGTGGCATGTACCTGTAGTCCCAGCTACTCAGGAGGCTGAGGCAGGAGAATCTCTTGAACCCAGGAGGCGGAGGTTGCACTGAGCTGAGATCACACCATGGCACTCCAGCCAGGTCAACAGAGTAAGGCTCTGTCTCAAAAAAAAAAACAAAAAAACAAAAAAAAACTTGTCCTCATTTCCAGCTGATGGCATTAAAGAAATGGAAATCGAAAAGGAAAAAGACTCAACTAATAAAAGTGCCTCATTATCTTCTACTCTCCAGTCTGTAGAGACACAGAAGGTGAGAACTGGAGAGGCCTTGGAGGTCACGTCACCAATGCCCTTGTTTTGTGGATGAGGAAATCACTGGGGGGCAACGGCCTTGCTGGGATTAGAACTCACATCTTCAAACCTGAGCCCAGTGCTCTACTCAAAGACTTTCCACATACAGAGCATCTCTGTCAATGGGGCATGTGGGACTCTTTCCTGCACACCAGTGTGTGAAAATGAGGCTTAATGAAGAGTTAGTCAGGGGAGCTAACATGCACCCTCTTACGGGAACACCATGGCCTTTCGCAGAAATGCTTCAACGAGGGCTGGTTCACAGGAGGTTAGTGGTACATGGCCAGTACTGCCGCAGTTCATTTACTCTGTCTGATGGGAACAAATCAATAGGTTGATGGTAGTTGCTGAGTCTAACGTGCTCCCAGCTTGAGCTGCACCGGCTCTGTAAACAGCCCCTGACTGTAGCAGCAATAAACGACAATAAAACGGCTCCATCTTCAGGCAAGTCCAACCTTTACCTCTCCTTCCTACCCCTCGCCCGACTGATTTTAGCCACTGTTCTCATTCCCAAGGACCCAGTTGCTCCCAACCCGTTGCCATGGCCACAGGCCTCACCCAAAGCATACCAACGCTGTAGTGCTCACAGATCTTGGCAGACATCCAGGCAGATGCAGAGCAGTTGGGGTGAATAACGTTCTCCTCTGAAAGCCGGGCCAAGGCTGTCGGTTGCACTCCCTCCGCTGTCGGCTTGAGTCTTATAGAGCTGTCCATTTGGCTGCCCGGCTGTGAATGAGCCATGCTTGTTAATTTCTTTCCCCTGCACCAGTTTCTTGGGAGCCTCTAACCCAAAACTTAAACAAAGAGCTAAATCAGGCTGTTCCCAGAGCTCCAGACCCTGGCTGTTTACCAAACACTGAAAATGTTACCAGTTGCTACCAGTCCCAAATCTCTCATCTCTTCTAAGAGTCATGAGGAATGTCGCCAGAGAGGTCCAGGCCTGGCCCATCCGTGATGCTCCTGGGTGTCTGTTTCAACATCCCAGTCCTGTGAGTTGAAATATCTTTTCCAGAGAAAAAGAAATGAAAGGCAGGGGTGGGGAGGGGGTGAAGGAGCACATGGCAAGAGAATAGAGTTGGAATCCCTTCAGAAACAAAGAGGAGCCGTCCGTGTGCAGCGTGTTCAACCCTGGATGATTTATGTTGGCCCAGTGCTCAAGTTCACGGCAATTACAAAAAAGGAGGGAGTGTCAGGAGGAATCTTCCATGAAAACCAACAGTACCAGCCAACATCTGTCCCTTGGGGTGGGCAATCTGCTCCAGGCTGTTCAGGATTCTACTTAGAACGGGACAGTGCACACAGAAGCAAACTGTAGATTAGAAAGCAGCGCATACAGGGAGAATGTTTCATCAGGCATTCCCTTCACTCCTACATCGAAGTGAGCAAGTTCCCCGGGCGCCCCCACCCTGGAGTATGTGCCCACATTGTCAAAGAACCTACCTGGTAGGGAGGGTGCTCAGACCTTCTCCCACGTGAGAAGGGTTTGGGATGGGGTGGGCGGGGCCACTTCTGCTGGTGAGAACACAGCTGTTCCAACCTTCCTGGAACTGGCCCCCAAGCCCCCTCTCCAGCTGCATTTTTGCATTGATCTCCTGTCCAGAGATACTTTGCCCACAGTTACCACGTCTTTGCTAAGGAGTTGCTTTAAAAAGGAACATAATATTTAGATTTAGCTGCCTGGAAGAGGAAGGTGTTTCATTCTTCTTTAAAGGTAATCTGGAAATTACCACTTTTTAGTGGAGAATAATATACTCTTCAATTAATAACACGCGTGTAATCCCAGCTACTCGGGAAGCAGAGGCAGGAGAATTGCGTGAGCCTGGGAGACGGAGGTTGTAGTGAGCTGAGATCGCGTCATTACACTCTAGTCTGGCCAATAGAGCAAGACTCTGTCTCAAGAAAAAAAAATGCGGCCAGGTGCAGTGGCTCACACCTG